GAGAGGCAGCCGCGCCCTTTGGTGCTTGAGGTGACACTGAGCTGCGGGCGGAGGCTACCAGAGGGTTGTGACGGGCCCGCAACATGCCATCCCCACGATTAGCGCGCGCCCCCTGACCCAACAATGCCCTCAGCTCCTCCCCCTCAGGCGAGTAGGGTGGTCTTGTCCGCCCGCAGGCTCGACTGAGGGAGGAGCGTACCAACGCTCAGGAATAAAGGGGAGAGATCAGAGACTGTACAGAAGGTTAGAGAGTAAGCAGAACTTTCCTTTGGAGAAGCGGTATTGCTAGGGGTTTAAAACGGACAGCTTTCAGCTGCAAATGAGCACAAGAATTGAAGTTAGGAAATGAATTGATACCCCCTACGCTATTATCTATCGATGGTATGGCCTAAAGCGATTGGGTCAAGGGTGAGGCAGAGAAGGCTCTGCGCATGCGTGAGAAGAGTAGAAACCCGGAAGTAAGAGTGCAGTAAAGAGTCTCTCTTGAGAGGTTCCCCTCCCCCTCCTACATGGAATTCCCTGACTAAGCGGCAGCAACCCCGGGAGTTCCTGTTGAGGTTGCCTTACAGGCGGCTTGCTCTTCTCAGTCGTCGTCATCTCCCCCCCGCTTTTCTCCTTTACTACGAGTTTCAGTTCTCCACTGACTCTGTAAAAACCATGCTGTGGTTGGAGGAGTCAGGCTGAAATCGTGCGCAGAATCCTTGACTCCTAATCCCGTCAGAATGGGTTGGATTGATGCCTTTGTTATTAGGCATAAAATTGCTCTGCTTTTCTAAACATAGAAAATACAGAAATCTCCGCTCCGTGCTTTTCATTGCAGCATTACAAGCAAAAATAAAGTGGGGAGGTGGCGCCCCGTCTGCTAAATTTCCTACAGTCGTGCTATTAACTGGCAATCCTATTTATAACTAGTGGCTTGTCTTCGCGGTATTGAATGTTACAATACTGAACTTCTCAAAAGATAGAGAAGGGGAAAAAAAATATCCTGAATAGGATAAAGAAACAAAGAGATCTGTGACACGTTAAATACTAGCCAGCTGTGTTATGGCATAAGTTTTTGTAGACCAAATGAGCGAAGTAAATTCCTTCTGCAAGTATATCCAGTGGGGGAAAAGAGAGAAAAATGGGGTGGTAAGATTAGACAGGTTTAGTCCGGGGAAAATAGGACTTGACTTGTAGGCACTATAGATCAGCAAGGTTTTTTAAAGTAACTAGCCCAGTCTTTTGCATGGAACAATACGTGTCTACAGTTGGTATTAATCTTTTTAAAAAGAGACATTCCTTTAGTACTTAAATACTTTTTAATCATATAAGTTTTCATTGACTTCTTCAGATGCAAGAACTATGGAGTTGCCTGCCTTCTGATGTTATGGTGGTTAGCAATTTTATGGTTTTAGAAGGGAATGATTGCTATTAATTGTGCGCTACATGGGGCTACCCTTGAAAAGTATCCGGAAGCTGCAGCTGGTACAGAATGTGGCGGCACGGGCAGTTGTGGGTGCCTCTAGGGTTGTGTATGTAACACCTCTCTGCTGCATTGGGTGCAGGTTTGCTTCCTGGTCCAATTCAAGGCCTTGGTTATGACCTTTAAAGCCCTTCATGGCATGGGCCCAAGTTACCTGAGGAATCGCCTTATCCTGGTTACATTGGTCCGTCCCACCCGGTCCAGCGGGAAGGGCATGTTGCAGACCCCATCGGTTAGAGAATTTCGACTGGCGGGGTCCAGGAGGAGAGACTTTTCTGCTGTTGGCCCCACCCTGTGGAATATCTTGCCCCCTGAGGTGAGGTTGGCCCCCACTCTTCTGGCCTTCTGGCTCTGCTGACGGGGATCCAGTGGGGGCTCCCAGTGCTGGAGGTGGGTGGCTCCTTGAGGATGCTCTCTCCGCCTTTTAACTTTGCCTATAGTCTTTTAATGTGTTTTGTAGTTTTTAAATGTTTTTATGTTTTTTTTATTTGTGAGCTGCCTAGAGTCACTGATAGTGAGATGGGCTGTGTATAAATTTGATTTATAAATAAATAAATATATAAAATATTGGCCGTTTTATGCCCTCTGAAATCCCAGTAGCATATTTTCAATGGCACGTGATAGGGTGCTTCCTGAATATTCTTGGTTAACCAGTACAGAGTGGATAGATCCTTAGTCTGATCCCGCAGGACTCTTCTCATGCAGGATTATCTTCAGCTGACATACCTACATGGATGCTGAGGAAAAGAAAAACAAAATAGTAGGGTTAAATAACTGTGGAATGCAAAAATTGTCTAGCCTGAAACAATTAAGTTAAAGGAAGCCAAATAAGAACACTGACTATGATAAGCCTGCTGTCCACCACAGCTACTCCCTGGCTCTTCATGTATCCATGCAGATACCCAAACAAAACAATTTGTGCTTTGCTTTGCTGATAAGGAATTAGGAACAGAAGATGGTTCAGCTAGTGACATAGTACTCATAGGAGAAGGAGGTAGAGAAATGTAGTCAGCATCAACTTCCAAGATGTCATATTAAAATCAGAGAGGATTCTGGGGCAAAAGAGCTTAGTGGTGAACGAGTTGGGTTGGCAGCTAAAGGTACTTTAATAGCTAAAATGGATTAGATTGTTCTAATAGCTGTTAAAGATCTTGGTGCATTGGGCTGTAAACCTAAAAATGGACAGTTGACGTTAATTAGGATTTATGAGATGCTGGGTGAGATGGGAGAAGACTCCTGGGAGAAGACTGACCAAAGTGTTCAAGAGTGAACATACATTGGGAAAAAGTGCTGAAGGAACATGGTGTCATGGGACACATGGCTAGATGACCCTAGAACCCAGCTAAAATTGAAGCTAGAAGAAATAAGATCAAAGGTTTACCTGCCAGGGTATAACTGGCCAATCGCCTATTGTATGTTCAATCTGACAGATGATAAAATGCCATCTAATTTCGTAAGTACTTTCCTGGAGTGGAAGAGGTGTAACTGCAGACTGAATGGCACATAAGCTAGGAACAAATATGGGTTCACATCATATAGTGTTAAGATTGCTTATTTAAAACGCTTTGAGAACCAATGCAAATCTAGAGGGAAAAATGTGTAAAGTACTTAAGGCTATGCTTGTCTAAATAGAATTACTCACAAAAGATTGCAAAACTGTTAGTAAAATCAGGTTGGCATGATTCTTCTCCTGTTTCAATTTTTTACATCACTTATATTCCTGACTTACAGAAAAAAACTACCAGATACACTATCATGTAAACATGAATATGTTATTTCATGCTCATCTCTCCCTACCACAATCCTGAAGCCAAACAGTTTTGCCCTTCCCCACAGAACAGACGTCCTGAAAGGCTGGGGGCAGGAAAACAGGCAGTAGATCTGCTCTATCAAATGAGATTACAGCAAGAAGAAGATGCATATGTCAGGGCTCAGATGTGGACCAGGGAGCCCCACAGACTGATTCTTCCCTTTCTCTGTGAATGATGAACAGTTGTATCACAATGGCCATTTATACGTTCCCCTTTCTTTGAGGAAAGAGAGATTGCAACTCTGACATAATAATAGAAACTGCTGGACATGGGGAAGTATTTGAAACTTCGCACCAGGTGCTAGTGACTGAGGGTGAAAGCAGATGTCAAGGACTGTGTTTCACCTTCTCACATTTGTTACCGGAAAGCTGGCTGGTTTATCTCAATACCTCCTTTCACTGTTGGAACCAAAGGATCTGTTTCAGTGGATTTTATTGCTGATCTTCCCCCCTGTACAGTTACATGACTATTTTGGTGATACTTATTTACCAAGATAATTTATTCATTTCAAGGGCCTTCTTTCGCCTCTGGAGACTATATACTGTAACTTTTTCTAAACCACATTTTTAGATACAGAGATTTAGTAAATCAGATGATCTTGGATTGTGACTCTCCATTTACCTCCATGTTTTGGAAGAGCCTCTTCCTACTATTAGATATTCAAATTAATTTGTCATCTGGCCTCTACTAGGCAAATAGATAATGTGAACCAATTATTAGAGTAGTACTTGAGGTTCTATGTATTTTATCAGCAGGACAATTGGACTGAATTGTCTTTTTCAGAATGTGTGTATAACAACTCAATACTTTCTTCCATAGGCATGTCTATCAGGCAGTTTATGGCTACCACCCCCACATCTTGCCTTCCAGAGCTCCAGCATCTGCTGTTCCTTGGACCTTCTGCAGAAGAGGAAGGCTGCTCAGTTAGATTTGGCAAAGGCTACATACTAGTGGGCCACGCACAGATAAGAAGGCACCAAGATTGTGGTGAGGATTTGGTGTAGCTTTCCACTGAATGTTTACCTTCTGTACAACCATCTATAAAGCTAGACTTGATGTTTATTGGCCACTTCCCAGTCACAACTGCTTGCTTCAATGAAGAGTCACCTGGTATTCCATCAATCAGTTCTTGTTTGTGAGGAACCCCCATGCCCCTTGTGACCTAAAACTGCCTCCCCCTCCCTTGCTGATAGATGGGGAAGAAGAATATGAAGTGAAATATATTCTGGATTCTAGACACAACAGGTGACACTTGGAATATCTGATTCACTGGATGAGCTACTCTGAATCTAAGAAGTCATAGAAAAATACAATAGATGTCCATGCCCTACACCTTGTACTCCAGTTTCATCTGAAATTTCCACACAAGCCCCCTCTGTACAATCTACCATCACTCTCAAGAGAAAGTGAACCCCAGGATGAAGAGGACTCTCTGCTTCCCACTGCAATAGACTTTCCCCTACAGGTTGCTTTATAAAACAAAGGGAGAGAAGGCTTTCTAGCTCCATTTGACTCTGTGGCAAGACTTGTCTGGTGACTTGCCAAGCAAGGATGGGGAGGGTGAGTCTGTAGATAGGTCTCATAGCACTATGTCTCTGCATGTGGGAGGGGAAGCTGAGTCTGATGTGGGGAGATGGTTGTAGAGGAGTATGGAGATAACCTTGAAAAAGGAACGCAACAGCAGTTAAGTATACATCAACTCAACCCTGTGAAAGAGGGAAGGAGGATAAGAAAGAAACTTAAGATTACCCTTCCTTAATTGTCTTTGGTATAAAAGGGGGCAATGGGAAACTCTGCCAGACTTCCAAGATTCTGTTGTTATACCCTATAACAATAGAGTTCCAGTAGTCTTTGCGGTAAACCTGTCCTACCTTGAAGGACTGACATGTACCACTACTTGTCTCTTGTCCTACCTTGAAGGACTGACATGTACCACTACTTGTCTCTTGTCCTACCTTGAAGGACTGACATGTACCACTACTTGTCTCTTGTCCTACCTTGAAGGACTGACATGTACCACTACTTGTCTCTTTAACAACTCTCTGAAATTCTTTGATCTTTCAAATTCTTTCTTGGCTGTGGCTTCTCTTCTTTTCTTAGCAATTTTTACCATCTATGCTGATATCCACTTTGCTTTCTTCTGTATCTTGGTCTCTGGCAGTCTCTTCTCATTCATCCTTAACAACTTTGATTTCATTCCACAATTCTTCCAGTTCCCTATCATTTGAGTTCAGTACTTCAAAGCAATTCCTGATATCCTCCTTGAAAATGGAGGTATATGCTCAAGATTATATTGTGGAAACTGGTTGGCTTTGTTCTTCTGCTTTAGCTTGACTTGGAACTTGCACATGAGCAGTTCATGATCAGTTGCACGGCCAGCTCTTGACCTTGTCTTTGCTGTTATAACTGAATTATTCCACCTCCTAGTACCAATAATATAGTCAATTTGATTTCTGTGTGCTCCATCTGGTGATGTTCTTATAAGTATGCATCCGTTTGATTGTTTGAAGATTGTGTTAGCAATGCAGAAATCACTAGATTGGCAGAAACTGAGAGGGTATTCCCCTGGTTCATTTCTGTTTCCTGTTTCCTAGGCTATATAGACCAACTGTGTTTTCCTTTTTCAATCTTCCACAATTCATGAAGATGGGAGTGTCTTAACCATTGGAAGGATCAGTTTCTACAAGCCTCATCCATGTTGATATTGCAGAGCAAACAGAAAATACGAGGTGATAGCGAAGTGGGAAGGGGGAACTAAAATGTAAGGGAGGGGTTTTGAGGGAGACATATTACTTAAGGCTTTGTGGGCTGAGTGGACCAACTGATTGGGC